ATTAAACAATGGTGAGAGGTCCCTCTGGTAATTATAAATTATTTTACTCATAGCCTTTTTTCACTTTAATATGTCGCCCATTAAGTTTCCACATTTTCAACTTCATCTCAAGAACTGCTGGTCAGATTGCAACTAAACTGAGTCGCTCAGCTTCAGTAGCTTAAGATGCACCAAAATTTCAAAATCTGTGGTTCCCACCCCTGGGGACCATGAGGCAGGGTCGAAACAGTTATTTTTTAATCTTCTATTTGGAAGCAAAACTGAAATGCTTAAGTTTGGCTGTATTGTCAAAGAGTAGGAGCCAAATACGGGAACTGTATGTGCTTGAAAACCACCAACTTTTTGTATAAGCATATGCATTAAGGTCAAGGGTCAAATGCCAGAAAGACTTAGAAGTTATATAACTGTCAAAACTGCAGAATGTCACTTTTTTACATAGGCATGTGCATTTGTAATAATATTTTTTATGTTTGACAAAACATCATGTTTGTAACCAATACTTTATGCAAGTGCCAAATGCAGCTTATTTAGGGGCATGCTCATTCTAGTAGGAAATTTGACTACTCACAGAAAGAAATACCCGTAGAGTTGCAGATTTTAATTCTTTGTTCTTTGAACAGAGTTGATTGTCAAGGCCCAATAAGTCTCTTGTACATTGATAATTTTCCTCTGTGAGTGAAAATCTTTATATATGAATACATTGTGGGAAGCTTTGGGTTGTAACAGAAACATGTGTAATTTAGTGGGAGTCTAGCGTTGCGACAAAAATGTGTGTAGTTTGATGGAAGTCATGGGTTGTGACAAAAACATGTGTTGTTTATTGGTATCACCATAGTACAGACAGTTATCGCCATTAGGCTGACACAGGGATGTAGTAACAGAGGTGTAGTAACAGTAGTACTCATTATAGGTGCTAGGGTTATCTAGTTCTCTGTAGTACACCAGTCACATGTCTACTGTGTGGATCCATATGTGGCAGATTTTCTCTACAAACCAGTAGAGGTATGTGACACTGGAATGGACATTTCCATCCACCCTTTGAGTACAATGTTCTGGAAACACTTTGGTTATCTTTGTTAAAATGTTCTGAATCATAATTCTGTACCCTTTACATCTAACCAATAATTACAGACTTGTAGTTGTAGACATTTTTATTTCACTGATGGGATATCTGCCTCTCAATTTTTACATTGTGTTCCTAATAAGCCATTATTTTTTGTGTTATATCATGATATTGTGAACAAAGAAACCTGAACTAAAAATAATGGAAAAATCATATCTAAACTTCATTTCAATAATAAGGAAATATTTAATGGTAAATGATAGAAATCTCTTCTGTTGGCCCAGTGGTAAACATGCACAATAGAAGGTTTTGATGTGTGATGCCTGAGTTTGGGGTTTGGCATGTGACCTGTTGTATCTATAGATGTCTGATTGGAGGTTTGATTCCCACCCGCTGTCTTACATTCTCTGCTCTACCATATCTGACCACTCCATCATATCTGATGGCAGGCTCATGGTTTTATACTCTCTGTATAATTGTTCACTAGTTACCAGGTTTTGACTCCGTCTTTCGATGGAAATGTTCTTTTCTATCTGTTTAGTCAATAAACTGTATCCTAAAGATATATATATTCAACTGTTAATATACACTTACATAATATGATAATATAGAGATTTGTAAAACAATAGGTGTCTTATCTGTTAAAGTTATTTTTATTTCTTGTTTTGAAGTTATTTCTAATTATTTTTTTATATATTCTTAAAAATCATATCAAGGAACAAAGTTGTAAAATATTTGAAAAAAAGGTACATTAATTTGTGTTGGCAAAAACCCAAAATGCAGATTCCTTTTTTCAAACAAAAGAAAACAAGAATATTTCAGTAATTTGACTGTAAGTTTAATCTGAACAGCATTAAAAATATGGTTGAACATCAGTTGAGTAAGAAAGTAAAAATAGGCAGGAAGGGAAAAGATAATATGAATCAGACTAGAGGAGAGGCAAACAGCTTTAAGTAGTCACTAGATCTTAAAGTCTGACACATCCTTTGGATTAGGTGTTACAGTGCTATTTTATCCCATTATCAAAAGCTCGTTGTTTTTGTAAATCAAACAAACAAACAAACAAACAAAATATTGAATCGGATAAAAAAATAATAACTTCAGGGTAAAGATTTTCATTGTAATAATCAAAGCTAACCAGACAGAAAGTTAAAGTTTGAACATGATGGAGATGATTTTTTCATCCAAAAGTAAACATTATGGGATGGATATGGAAGCTGAGTTAGAGCCAAGATAAGGGTGAGATCAGACAGCTGGCTAGCATTCCTCAGACCTGCATCATCACCAGACTTCACCAGTCAGGCATGGATGAGGAAGTAAAGCTCATATTTCTCCAAAACTCAAGTGTCTCTTCAAGTTTATTTCAGAATGAGCTTTAAAATAAATGTAATGGAATATTTGAAATTTGAAATTTGCAGAATATCAGAATACATAGATGGAGAAATTACATTTTCAATCAAATAATATATCTCCTTATGTTACTGCTTTATTTCTACATTGACTTGAAATATCATAGGATGACCTTGTTTCAGCCAGGAGACCACCAGTGTCCCTATCAGGACTGGGGAGATGTATTGTCCTTGTCAGGGATATGGAGTCCTTCATTGGCTCTGTCAGGGCTATTAGAAATAACCTTCAATGTCCATGGTTTGTGGGTTCTTTAGTGTCCCTGTTGGTTAGAAGCTTGATATATATTAGGCAGTATACAGAGTTATTGCCCTTTGTTTTTTGAAACTTGATTAAATAGTCTGGGCTACATGATCACTAACTTTCATAAAATCTATCTGCCAACATGGTTAAGGTTAGAATTTGATTTCCCATAGTAATAGCAATAAAAGTGAGGACAGAAGACCTAGTTAAAACATCAGTGTAATCATTCTCATGCATGGCTCTTTTGTCTCCTTATAAGGACTTGACAGGCTGTATGTTAATTATGTAAGACAGGGTACTGTTATAAATGAGGTTTATTATGAGGTTATTGACACAGAAGGTTGGAGGAGGGCTGTTCTGTCCCTGACTGGACAGAAACGTCAGGTTCATCGCCATCTGTGACCTTTCTGCCATTTATTTGTCACCATCAACTTTGGAAGGCACAAGGGGAATGATATACAGCCTTGATGACGTTGTTGAGTAGAGAACATTAAGTGGCTATACTCACCTTATATATTGTTTCTTTATCAGCTTTTCTTCTCCTCAGAAACTAAAGCATCCATCAAAGATTAGGAAAATCTGACCAGTATTTCTGTCTGTACAACTCCATCAGAATATATACCTGGACATAGAAGACAGTCAATCAGGTCTTTCTTACCTGAGATGAATTACTGAATAAAAAGTTAATATTTTGACCATTACATGGTGTTGTAAGGTGTTGGAAAGAAAACAAGATATGTAAAAAGATGAAACAGAAATCCAAATTAAATTCTGTAAGGAATTAATGGCATTATATTAAATAATGATAAATGTTAAAATAAAGATGTTGCAGCAGGAATTCTTTAAATGGACAGATTGTATGGTGATAAAAGAATGGAAAGCAACAAATAGTAAGCTTTAGGTAAAATGGTAAGGATAACATTACTAAAAATTGAGGGTCTGAAGATGTCATTGTGATTGCTTACAATATTTCTTAAGAGACTTCTGTAAGAAATTTTCTCTATCAGAACTTGATTGTATAATATGATAGACATATAATTAAAATGTTTAGCTCAATCTGTGTCATTGTGTCGTCTGCCTGCCCCAGACATCCTCAGACTTAATCAATATCGGCCAGTGACCACAGACAGACAGACAAGCAGATTAATCCAACTATGTGCACTTAATCTAATTATTCTCCTATTTACTTATACTGGAACAGTAACTACCCTCAGGGAGTTAATCTTCCAGGTTTCTGTCTTTGCACCCTGGAACCAGATGTTGACCTCTGAACCCTTACCCCCTGAAAGTTTTGTCTGACCCCTGTTATAATATTGATTGACCAATGATAAGGCCACTTGAGGTCACTCTAATCCAGTGGCTGGATTTCTTTTTATGAAGTACAGTGTGTTTGTTTTCTGTGTTTATCAAAATTTGAAAAAAAAAAAGAAATATAGTTTCCTGGAATGCAACTGTAAATTAGGACCTGAAAGATTGCACTAAAGACATTAAAAGTGATCAGAACCTTTCAGTACAAATTTAGAATTAGACAAAGTAGAACTGAATCATGACCTTTAATTCCTTAATATGCTAAGGGCCTAAATTGTTTAAATCTAGAAGCTGACTTTGAGAAATCAACATATGTGGAAATCTTTTAGAAATCAAATGGGGAGGTACATTAACTCAGAATGTAAATGGAATAATAATTTTTCAATATTGAATAATTTGAAAGTTTTGTCAAGTGTATAATTCTAATAACCACAGCGAACATTGAATTATAGATAAATCCTTCATTCTTATTAATGAAGTGAAACAAAATCACACTTACCATTATTTGATGTTCTTTTAAAGTAAGAATGTACCATATTTGTAGATTTTGGGTCTAAAGCACATCCCCCAAACAATTTTAACACTCAACATTGATAGTGTAATTTTTAATTTTTCACACAAATTTTTTTTTTGCCCCTAACTTCCATGAGAAAATAAAAAAAGGAACGATGAAACAGCCATATATTTCAGTTTTAATACATTATCATATATATGTTAAATCTCCTGCTAAATGTAGTCAGTTTGAGTACTTGATGTGAGAGGAATCTGCCAGTGGAATCAGATACGCCGTATGTCTGTAACTTATCATGAAAAAGTACTGAGAAGTGTATAGTAAGGCTGGGAATGTGTGCTTACTCACCCTGTGTGTTAACCCATTCACTAGGAACCCCTCCTTGTCTATCCCTACACTAATATATAGGCTGTCACAGACCTGATATATCATACACACTGTCTACATCTCCAATACATCATATAGCCTGTATAACCACACACGTAAGGATCAAAGTAATATTATTTCGAAAATTGGAAATATTTAACTTTTTTGCTGAAAAGGGTGAGTATATTGATTTTGTATTGGTTACATATTAATATTATGCATGATAATTCTATTAGAATTTTCAAATCCCAAATTTCTTAAAAATGCAAGAGAAAGTTCTGTTCTTATAATTCTATATTTTCTACAGGAAAATATTTCTTTGAAGTTATTTTTAAAACTATACTTTGACCCTATTTATGTCATCTTCAATAATCACTGATGTTAGTATCTTGTAAGATACGTGCCAGTGATGGTGATGTGTTTCTGTGATGGAACATCTGGTCCTAATTCAATGATCAAATTCTGAGTAAAAAAAAATTATGGAAAAAATTTCAGCTTCCTTTAACAGTATGACCTTGTTTATACTTACCCAGAATGTGATTACTGTCTTAGTTCTGTATTAAGCCCACGGGAGTGAAACATTCCATCAAGGTATGGTGGTAGACTTATTACAGAACATTGATACAGAGTAGATATGAAGTTCTTATAACACAACCAATAGAAGATTTAAGTGTGACGTTTTCAATGACTATACAGTCACCTTGATTAGACAAAGGATCATTGTGAAGCATACTATCACTGACATATGTAGTATACAAGGTTGGAAGGATGGAAAAGTGTAGTCATCAAACCTCACACTCAAATCTTCCATTGGTTGGGTTATGAGAAAATGTTTTGAAACATTAATCCAGAATTTATTGGCATTTCTATTCAAACTGATGGATAACTCATTACCAGGTGTGAACATATTGTGGAATAACTATGGTTAGCAAGTAACTTATTATACCCTTTCCCTAGGTAGAGGGGGTATAGATTAATCAATTCGTGGGTTCTTGCATGAATGCACTAGTGAGGGAGTGTCTGCATCCATGATAACGTTACATACAAGATATCTTATAACCCTGGAACAGATTTAGTTCATATTCGTACCATAGCATCACATCACTAAGGCCTAATCTTGATCGGATTTTCGTGATCATAGGTCAAGGCTTAAGGTCAAAGGTCACCATTTACCACTTTGGAAATAAAAAGTTTGTGTACAAGGTGATCTTTAACCAATCAGGTGTAGACCTCTCAACTAAATGTGTTTAGGGATTCATGAGATCTCTACACCTGATTGGAATTTAGTGGTCATTCATTAATTGGTCAAGGTTAAAGGTCACCTCAGCCACTTAATAGATAAAAAGCTTGTGTAAGTTTCTGCTCCCTCTGGTTTTTTATTTTGATACTGGAACTCCATCATGGAAGGAAGTTTAGATATCTATGATTTCTTACAACTTTTAATGATAAAAGTCTGGGAGGAAGTTTCCGGTGCAGGGTTCAAGTCTTATCACCCACTATATAGATACAGATCTTATCCTGTACTGGAGAAACAAGATATCAGCATTTGTTTACTGATTTCTGTCAGTCAGATGTGGATAAGAAAGTTTCAGACTTTTTTCCGGTGATGGCTCTTCTGTGTTAACCGGGAGTACATAAAGGTGTCCTCCCATTATCAGTCTATGTAACTATCTTAGTTCAATCACACCTCTCCTGGTCAGCGTAAAAGTCAGGTGTACTTTATCTTGTATGTCAGGATCTCTATCCTTTTTATAGCTGTTTTTTCCTGGAACACTGTTCTATCTTTGGTGTATTTGTCCTGTTGATAATGTGTACCAAAGTTCAGTTGTGCAATGTCTTTTGGCAGTCATTTACATTAAAGTGAAATTTAATAGATTTCCAGTGTTAACAGGTTAACTTGCTATCACTACTTGCATTGTAATGCAAATGTTGGAAATATAGTCATATGTTGTTGATTGAAAACTCAAGTAAAGATGATTTTCTTGAAAAGAGAGTCATTATTTACATAATGACAGAGTTAGGCTTGCTAATGAAAACAAAGGTGTAAACTAGAGAATCAGAAGGTGATATCTGTGTCATTGTGAACCACTATTCTTAGCTTTAACCAGGACTTTTTGTTCTATTTGAGGAAAGTTAAATCCAGTAATTGACTTTGATTGATGGGGCTTTCAACCTAATATGGTCATTATTAGTAACACAGCTGACAAAGACCATTAAGATGAGGTCACTTTGACTGGAACGGTCAGTTTGACCTATTGATCTACAGCTTGGATCAGTGATGCAAGCCAATGTTATTAATAATTCAATCTGTGGTTATTTTGTTTGGCTGACCAGAACCACATCTGATAATATTTTTGGCCAAACCTCTGCCTATAACTGTACTATATTGATCCTAAAATAAGTGCATGGGGACAATTAAAGTCTCGCTCAGAATAGTGGGGTGGGCTTATTACAGGATAGAGATAACCTTCAGTGGAAGCACTGCACTGGATGCTGCCATGGGTGGGCTTATTACCAGGCATGGGTTTCCTGCCAGATAAAAATCTTATCTGGTTTAAGTTTTCCACTTACCGATAGTATTGTAAATATACATATTTATAGGTGTCTTATGGTACTGTTGTTCACACTTAAAATATTGTGTTAAGATACATTTGATCAAATGTTTGCTTCTGTTTATTGTTTATACTGTTAATTGTTTATATATAGTAACTAACACTTTTGCATGAAAACATTATTGTGCTAATCTGCCAATAATTGCTAATACTGTAAACTTTGATAGTGGTAAATTTGTGTACAGTATTGAACCTACCTTATCAGATCCTTCTCCTATCTAAACCTTCAGAACTCTCCTCCTACACCCTCTACATCTTTTCTCAGTTGTTCTTGTATTAGAATGATTCAAATTCAGTAAAAAATGCATATAAAATATTTATCACGTTGTGTTATATATTCATTCAAAAAGGTTTGTGAGATATTTAAAAATGTGAGAGTTTCTCCTAATCTATGTAAATATCACAATATTCTGTGATTGATTGTAGATCCTGTCCTACTTAACATAACTACAATTAATTATCCTTAGTCATACCCTCTTTTAATTAGATGTGTCTAAAGTCAGCTAGACAATGAACCTAATCTACATTAATTTGACTTACATTAAGGATTTTAGTATGTACTAATCTACCCTCGTAAAGTTCACCTGCTTTAACTTGGCACATAAACTGGAACAAGTCTTGTTGTGATTAACATTAATCTGACCTACATTGGTTCTCTAAACTGCATTGATTTTATTTGACCTACAACAGTCTGACCTTCATTGAACAGGCCATAATGAACAAACTTAGCCTACTTATGTAATTACTTTAACCTGACCTCATTATCCTGACATCATGAGTCTGGCCTATTTCATGATGTGACCTTTATTATCTGACCTCCATTAACCTAACATAAGTTAAACTGACCTTATATCTTCCTTACAATGATTGATAATTTAGAATCTATTGTAACACTTGATATTGCTGAAACTAAATTATGTCTTGTATTTTTGCAGGTTGTTTGGATTTTGACCTCACTGACATCACAGAATGTCACAATTTGATGCCCTCCTCGACTTTGGGGATTCAACCCCTACAGCAAATGGAACTGTTCAGAAGACAGATGACTTTGATCCTTTCCAAGCCAGCCCAACCATTGACATGAAGGGAGCCACAAGCGGAGACCTATTGGGAGATTTTTCTTTTGATGGCCAGGTAATATCACCATTGTCTACCTTTATATCACCCCATGTTGACAAACAATAAAATGGGTTGTTTACATCATTTTACATCGCAATCTCATGTCTTATACGACCAATGGTAAGGTAGTGGAATGTACATGTCTGTGCACATGAAATACATCAAACAATAGTAGTTTAACTTTTTCAAACATTGTATATGTAGAAATTTATTTTGATCTCGGTAGTTGTTAAGTTACCATCAGATAGAGAGGACAATGCACACTGTAAGAAATCTGATGTGTAAAGATATACCAGCAGTATAATGGTTCTCCTACTGATACAGGATAGACCAGTCTTTATATAGATCTAGCTTTTTGTCAGCCTTTATATTTGCTGAGGTGTCTCACTCAATTATTGATGGTGATCAGGATGTTTTCCGATGACAGAAGTGAGGGACTAGTGTAGTAGTAATACTAGTGATTGTCTATAGCAAACCTATAGGTGACCATGTAGTCATGACCTTTTCAATGTTGATTCTGTAACGTTTCTTGTTATTCTGATATGGTTTTCTTTTTTTTTTATTCTAAATTATATAGTGATGGATATTAAAAAAATGAATCTGTACTTTCATCAAAGTTACAAAAATTTTATTGACCAACTTTCTTCCTTTTATATCTATATACTGTGAAGGATTTTTCAAATGTTTTCCTTGATGTTTCAAATTTTTAAAACTCAATGCATGTAGATTTAAGTTAGATTCCAACTGATATTGGACTGTTTTACTAAAAGCTTAAAGTAAAACAGATGCTTCCTTCAGTCTAGCCCAAAGTTTTAAGCCAAATGGATACAACTTCCATCAATGTCTACTGCCTTCTCCATTACTTTTACATTAAAATGATCTTATTCTTCACTATTCGATCCTTGAAAGTGGCCAAAATAGAAGTTTAAAAAAAAACACATTTTAATTGTATAAAAATTGTGATGAAGTCACAAAATGTTGATTTTACATTTTAATCTATGATGTACATATATGTATATGTATATATGCTTGTCACTGTGATAAGGAACAAGTTGAATAGGTGACTGCCTATCTGTGTAGTATGACCCTTGACCTCCCCATCAGCTGATGTAGAATATTGAGTGTACCCATTGTTTGGAGTGTAGGCGTATCTAGATTTCACAGATAAGTTGATGTTATGTAATGATCCCTGTGGTAACAGGAGATTGGATTGGATAACAGGAAGAAACACGATTATATAACAGATGTAATTACCTAGTTGTGTTCTGTTTACTTTGTTTCCACTAAACATACCCAGTGGATGTATTAAACTTCATGGTATAGGTCATTCATTTTTTCCACCTGACATCGAACAGTTGCCCTGTGAATGAAATTAATTTGGCAATTAATGTATAAATCTTACATAGTTGATTGTTCTCTTAAAATAATGATGTTTTTCTATTGACACTTTTTATGCCCACACCATTTATAAAGGGGCAGATATTGTGTTACCTACATCCTATACCTTAGAAACCTCTTAACAGATTTGGTTCATATTAACCCCTAAAGTATCATTATATCAATGTCTACACCTAATTTGATTCTGGCTTGCATAAGAGCAGGACAATCCTGTCTGAAGGCCTTGTTCTACTTGTCCTACGACCATGACTGTTAAGTCAGTGTTGTTCTGTGTTTTTTCCAGTGATATAGTAATATGATTGATATCTGATGCAGTCTGTGTTAAGGAGACCTTCCTGCTGAGATGAAATTGCAATGAAATAAGGACTTGCACTTTGTCACGTCCTTAAGATTCCAAATTCTGTAGTAGAATTTGAGAGGCTCAAACTTCCACATAACCTTGATTCTAACGTTATTGACCCTCCCTGCTGTTGAATATTAGTGCAATCATTTGTACATATCAATGAACTTAAATGTACAACATCTAAGGCTTCAGTACTCTGTTTTAGAAATTTCATGTTTGGCCAAAAACTTAAATCATAGAAAATTGAAATGTTGAAATAGTAATGTATGACACTAATAGACAAACATTGTTGAGACATTACCTCTTTATAACATCCAATTAAATTACCTCTTTATTCAAACCAGTTGACATTACCTCTTTTTAACATCCAATTAAATAAACCCATCCCTCTCACTCCAAAAAGTTCCATTAGCTGTTTTCTCCCTGATAAATCCTTCCCTCTCATTACAACAAGCTCCTTGAACTTTGTTTCTTTTTCAATAAACCCTTCCCTCTCACTAAAACAAGCTCCTTGAGGCACTCTTTCTTCTCCAATAAACCCACCTCTCTCATTCCAACAAGCTCTCTTTCTCCTCCAATAAACTTCTTCTAACTCTGATAAGCTCTTTTTCTTTTCCAATAACCCGACCTTATACCTCTGACAATTGTAGTACTATTCACTTTTAACATTACCACATATCTAATGATGCAGAAGACCATAGTGCAGATTTTGACCTACCCCAAACATCCATCTGTTCAATACACTCTGACCTTGACCTTACCCATTTGTAAGACTGGAATTCACTGATGAGGATGATTTAAAAACTTAATCTCTTCTGAATAAAGACTTACAGTCTTCAGGCCCTGCAACTTACAAATATTGCATACCAACATTAGCTGGGGAATACTTTAAATTTCAGCAAGGTTTGTAAACAATAGTCGCAATTCAGGTTCTCTCACCCTGCCATGTATACTCTTCTCAAGCATTTTATATAATATTTATATGACGATGAGATTTTTCATATTCAAAGTCTGTGGTTGCAGGACTGTATGGGCTTATAAAAATAAATTTGATATAAGGAAAAAATGTTTCTGATTTTTCTTTGAAAACTATTTTTGAAATTCTTCTCTTTGATAAAGATTGCTCTCTGTATACCAAGATTTGAATTCATCCTAATGAGGAAATTACCTTGAAAATTATAATCTTATAACAACACTCTTTCTATATACCAAATTTCAGTTTTATCAATATGAAGAAATTATTTTAGAAATAGACAACTTGACAACACTCTAATTACAAGAAGTTCAATTTCATCATAATGACCAAACAATTATTATCAGACTTTGCTTATTCAGGGTTAGAAAAGAGTAATATTCAGACCCATATCTGTGTAGCAGAACAGACTAGAATGTTCTGAATGAAGTGATGAATAGTTTGGATGATGGAATTGTTTTAAAGAATACTAACTAACATGTAGGACCAATATCTTTCTCTGACATATTCGCAAACTTTTGAGCTAAAGGACAGATTGTCAGATGGTACAAATACAACATTACAGCTGATAACTGTATGTAGTGGATCTCCTGACTATAGTAACTGGGAGATGCACTGATGTAAACCCCAAGTACATGCTTGAAGCTTGCCCCTCCCTGATATAATGACGATGGACATCAATCTATTGAGGTGTAAGTGGCCCTTCACACCTGTCAGTTCTTGCTGGAGTCTTAGTACAGCAGTTCTAGTAGTAATGGATTATCACTGATTGATACTTACATTGTGTGGTATATATAACTATCATACATGGTATGTTACATCTTATCATATTTATCCAGCAATAAGTAAGTCTTAGGGACCAACAAATAACTTATTAGAAGTCGGGGTGGGCTTATTACAGGATCTCTGGGATCAACACATTACTTCTTACTTGAATTCAAGGATGGGCTTATTACAGAACCCTTGAGGTACTTTTTATTAGAAGCCTGCGGGTAGGCTTATTACAGGATCCAAGGGATCAACACATTTCTTCTTACTTCAATTCAAGGATGGGCTTATTACAGAACCCCTGGGGTATTCTTATTAGAAGTCAGGGGTGGGCTTATTATTGAACAATAAAATATCATTGGTTTGTAATTTTACTGAACAGCAGTACGGATGGGTTTATTACCAGTCATGAGTTTTATTGTCAGATGATTACAAGGGTTTCTTGTATTAATAGTTGTTGTTAAGACTGTGTGTATAATGATGGTACTGGGACAGAGTTAACTTCAGTGTCTGGGGATTATGTCTACTATATCTTGATCATCTCATTGCTGAGGGTCCATTTGTTTCGTGTGATAGTCTCATACCTGCTAATACCCATGGTTATTGTAGTTCTGTTAATTCTAACAAGTACTCTATCACTTTATCACATAATCTACATGTTATTCATTACCCACTTAATATATATATGCATATTTGTTGCTTGTGTAGTATACCTTGGAGTGTATTTCATTCGCTATACCAGTCAGAAATTGATTATGGTGTCATAATATGGATATGACATGAATGGAAAATTGTGCAGCAAAATTGTGTCCTCCACTTGCCTGTTAATTTCCCTGTCACTTTTTTCTCCAGATAAATAATCTAAAACCCATTGCTTCCCTCACCCTTTTCCTCCCTGATCAAGCTTCTGATACCCACTGGTTCCCTCACCCTTTTCCTCCCTGATAAAGCTTCTGATACCCATTGGTTCCCTCACCCTTTTTTCTCTCAGATAAATCATCTAATACCCATTGGTCCCTCACTCATTTTCCTCCCAGATAAAGCTTCTGATACCCATTGGTTCCCTCACCCTTTTCCTCCCTGATAAAGCTTCTGATACCCATTGGTTCCCTCACCCTTTTTTCTCTCAGATAAATCATCTAATACCCACTGGTTCCCTCACTCTTTTTCCTCCCAGATAAAGCTTCTGATATCCCACAGGATCTCCTACCCCTTTTTCTCCCCTGTGTTTGATGATATAAACAATTTGAGATATGATAATTACTGTTCCAGTTTTCAGCCCCTCCATTCATAGTTTTGACTTGGTGCTGCACAAACACTAAAATCTAACCCCGCCCCTGCACCCTGTAGACTAGCTTAACATTGTATCCTATTGAATATCTGTTCTTGATATTATCGTATAAAGACCAGGTTTGCTACTTCTATCTCTACTCGTCTGTAAAGGCTTTGAGCTAATCCCCTACTCCATCACGTCTCTAGTGACCAGAGCCGACTAGGTGTTGGACAATGTTATGTATCTGTCAATACTGGGAC